GGGGAGCGGGGGGGGGGGGGGGCAGTGGTTGGCACTGGGGGAGAGGGGTGGCAGCACCAGCCTTGGCTCGGGGACACCAGAAACGTTCAAGTGTCCCAAGGCTGGAGAAGCAGCCGGTCCTTCCCACCACCCCACAGCCCACCTGTGTGTGGGGGGGAGACCCACAGGGTGGAGGGACAGCATTTACAAATGCCAGGCTCTGGAGAAGACACAGAGAGGTTTTGGGGTGTTCTTTTAACCCCTTCCTGCCCAAGCTGTCCCACTGCAATGTGACGCCCTCTCTCCTGTCCAAGCAAGAGGCTGCGGTGAAGGGGCCCCCATCCCAGGACCACCTTGCAGCGTAAGCACAGGTACCCAAGCCCCGGCAGCAAGGAGGCAGCCGTCAGGGAGGTATGGGCAGTGCTGCAGTGTGGCCACGATGACTTCTCTGCGTGTCACCCGGCCGTAAGGGAACTCACACCCTCCCCGGTGTCTGTGCCACGGGACGGCGCTGCTGGACCCCAGCTCTGGGCAGTCTGAGACACAGAAATGTTTTATTCTTCCAAGGTCCTTTTTTTTTTTTTGTTTTCTTTCTCCTTCTTTGTTACTTTTTTGGGGGTTTTTTTTGTTTTTTTTTTTTGTTTTTTTTTTACAAAATCTCTTCCCTGTGCCTGCAGACAGACCTGGCCACCCCCCGAGCTCAGCCAGGTCTCAGTGTCCCGTCCACCCCCTCCGCCCCAGCCCAGCTGTCCCCCAAACCCCGCTGCAGCCCAGCACCATGACACCCGAGCGGTGACCTGTCCTTGTGGGGCAACCCATGGGACACAGGGAAGACATGGGGAAGGCTCTCGGAGTGAGGAGCCACATGATGCCCTATTGCAGTACGAGATGGGAAGAAGGCAAATCTAAACGGACACCTCATTTTAGGGGGCCTGACCCTGCCTCTGTCACCCCAAGATAGCCTGGACAGAGACAGGTGCTGTATTGCTGGGGCTTCGGGCATCCCTGGGGGAGCTGAGCACCAAGCAGAGGGCAACAGGACTCGATTTGATCTCAGCTGGAGAAGAGGAGCCCATCGGGGTGCTGGGGCTGGGCTGGGGTGCAGCTGCAGGGTGGGCTCAGGGGGGTGACTGGAAGACAGCTGGGCTGCCCCTGCTTTAGGGATTACAGGGGTCTACGTTGATACAGATCCTCAGGTCAGTGGGTTGCTGAAAAGGGCTCAAGGCACCTTGGTAATGTCCACACGAAGAGGTGTTTGTTCCCAAAATTCCCATGGAAAGAAGAGTACGTAAGGTTCACATTAGCACACGTCAATTGTATATAGTGCAAATCAGAGCCCCAGCACCAGAGGGTTCACGCTCTGGTTAGTGGTTAGGATGTCCCACGGGTGCAATCCTGGGCACTGCAGACACTCCAGCCCTTGCTCTTCCCCAGCTGCAAGGCGATCAGCGCATCACGCACGGCTGTCCAAAACCTTCTCATGCAGAACGAGGTCATACCCCATCTCACCGTCACACTCGCTTCCTCCTTGTGCCCTACCAGAGGAAGGGGAGCCAGGAAGCCTTCGCGAGAAGACACGGAGAGCCTGTCCCTCCCGAGCAAAACACAGAGCTGCTTCTCAAAGGCATCGCTGCCCGGCCGGAGAGGAGCTCTGGGTGCAGTCCCGAAGGCAGCTCCAACCACCCGCAGCACTGCCACAACATCCATCCCAACACCCACCCCTTCCCCAAAGGTGAGGAAGATCCCAGGAGAAGGGCAGGTCTGCGTCCGGCTGCCACCGCAGCCAGAGGGGTGGAGGCCTCTCACACATGTCCCCAGAGGGGTTTCAGGTCCCAAAGGTTGGGGACTGATTGCAGGCACGGTCTAGGTTTGCAAGGCCACGCCGTGCAGAGGGAGTTTGTGGTTTTTTCCATCGGTCCCAAGCAGGAGGACGTCTTCCAGGTAGCTGCAGGAGCATCCTTTCTGGGAGACCTGCAGAGGCGGCAGCCAAAGGTCCAGGCCATTTCAGGACCGTGACTCGGGGAGTGAGGATGACGTGGCAAACGGGAAGCCAGGAGTGAAGAGCGAGCGCTGGGCTCAGGAGAGTCCAGCCACATCCTGGAAGCAGGGGAGCAGAGAACGTCACCGCTCATCACTGGTTCATGGGCTCCTCTTCCTCCATCGGCTCATCTTGTGGCCTGAAATGGAGAAATACAACACATGAGACGAGGAGGAGACCTGTGTGACGACGCATCCCTCTCAGCATCGAGCAGCCTTCTGGCAAGTCCAGCATCTACACAACAAGCCTCCGAGAGCTTCCAGCTGCACTGAGACCTACATAGACTCTGGCTGAGTCCTGGTGAGGATGAGAAAAGGTGGTGGGCAGGTCGGGACCGTGCTGAAAGGAGGTGATGAACCCCCACACCTCCAGCCTCCAAGGAAGGAAAGAGGATTTGGTCTCGGTTTCATCTTGTTTGGGAAGAGCCCAGCACTGAATCCCCCAGAAGCCAATCCAGGTCCTGACCACATGGATGCAGCACCTCACCCCACCACCCACCGATGCTGAACGCTGGGGCCAAATCTGCCGGGATGTGAGGGCTGCAGGATCAGAGCCCTCGGTGGGGAGGACGGTTATAATTTCTATCTCCCACAGCCCAAGACCTGCTTAAAGCCAGCAATGTCCTGACCTCCCAGAAGCCCATCTGGCTGTAGGACATGGCCCTTCTCTGCTGCCACCCCTGTGACAGCAAGGCTTAGACCCAGGCACACAGGGAGTGAGGGGCACCCACATCTCCCAGGATCAATTAAGAGCATCACCTCTTCTCCACCATCACGGCCACCGAGAGGGAGGCCAAGGCTGTGACTGTCTCCACCTCTTCTGCCTCGTGGTGCTGCGCCTCCAGGAAGGAGCAGCCCAGCTTGGAGGCAAAGCGCTGCACGGCCACCCAATATTTACCTGCAGGAGAAGCAAAAATCAGGAGGTGCCAGGATAGGGGTGTCCAAGGTCTCTGGCCTTCCCTTGCAGTGAGTGCACACATGGGGCATCACTCTCCCATGAGGAGGATGATGACGGAGGGCTCCACTGGGGTCTTTTATGCCAAGTGTCCCTTTGGAGGTCATGGGGTTTACTGGAGAGGGGAGGAAATGCTAACACTTGGCCCTTCCACGTTAACTAACTGAGCCCCCGGCCCTGGGACACTCACTCTGGACCTGGATCACTGTTTCCAAGGAGCGCACAGCATTGGGGTTTGGTTTCTGCCTCATGCTTTCTTCTGGGAGAGGGTCCAGCTGCCAAAGGAAGACATGGGGGGTCAACAGGAGGGAGCTGTGCCCAGGGCTCGGCTTGCAGCATCAGTACAGCCCCACAGCCACAACTCGCTGACCCCCAGCTCTCACCTCGTTGCCCAGCAAAGCTGACACGCAGGCCTCGGATGCATCGCAGATGGCCGTAAGGTCATGGCCACCTTCTAGCGCGAGGACGATGGCTCCGCCAGCCAGGCTCATCAGCTGCTTTGTCATATAGCCAAAGCCTGGAGAAGAAGTCCGAGGGGTGGTTGTCAGCCTTCCTGCCCGAAACGCTGGGGCCCTGGCCCTTGATGGGCTGGTACAACCCCAAAGATCTTCCCCAGCTCCCTGGAGAGCTGCCACCCCTATGCCACGGTCCCAGCCTGGGTGGGCAGCGAGAACAACCTGCCCTGAGCTAGCGGCGCTGCTTCCACCTCCTTACATTTAGCAGAGACTTTGTAGCCGCCCAGGGGCGGTGGGTGGCCGTCAGCCGCATCGAAGCCGGCCGACACCAGCACCACGTCGGGGGAGAATTCGTGTGCAATTGGCATCACCACCGTCCTGCGTGGGTAAAAAACAAATAAGAGGTGTTAAGTGCTGGCTCATCCCGACACTGAAGGAAAGGGGAGATGAGCAGAAACACAAGGCACAGTACCTGAAAGCAGCCAGATACTCAGGGTCACCCATGGGGGGGTCGAGCCCTCCAGTCCAGGCTACGTTGACATTAAATCCCTCGCCAGGGCCAGCACCAACCTGTGAGAGAGTAAGGACAGCAGTGAAAGCCTGGATGTGGCCTGCAGGGATGCTGGGGCAGTGCCCTGAGCAGGCTCCATCGCTGCCAGGCTCCGTGGAGGCAGGGCTGGGTGTCCCGGACCCCCTGCCCTGTGTCAGGGCCATGGGAGCCAGCTGGGTTTGCAAAGCTTGCTGAAGAACAGCAGAAGCTGTGGCGTTTTCCTGACATTTCCCAGAGCCTCGCAGTCATCAGTCACCATCCCCGCGACGCTGGCTGCAGGCTGGGACAAAGCCTCGGCTCTGCAGCCAGCTGGGTGAACTACGCAGGATCAGGCATCAATGGGCAAGACGCTGACACAAAACTACCCTCTCCTCAAACCCGGCAGCGCCCTGTTCTGCTGGCTGGCACCTTCGCCACCAGCGCTGCCGTCCCTGGGCAGAGCTGCACAGACCTCGCAGCCTGTTGGTGCTTTTTACCTCATCAGCGGCCCCACTACCGGGGAAGAAGTTGCCATCATCGTGACGATGCAGAGAGATGTAAAGAACGTCAGGGTCTCTGTAGAAGACCTGCTGGGTCCCATTGCCATGGTGAACATCCTAGAGGGAGAGAGAGATTGGGAGAGCGCTCTTTTTATTCAGCCTTGAGGGTGGCCCAATAGCCTAACGGAGCTAAAAGCAACTGGATCTCTACCCTGCTCCAGGGCTTGGTCCCCCATCCCCAGGATCTGCTCCTGCTCCCCCATCCTGACACGCCGGGGGGTTCCCAGCCATGCTCCTGCAGCTGGTCCCCGAAGGAGGAGGTTTCGCTGCTCTCAGGTCTAGCTCCAAACCAGAGCTGGGAGGAGGTGCAGACACCCGCTCCTGGGGACGTCCTGGGGAGGAGCTGGGGGACAGAGGGGACTTACCCAGTCCACAATGAGGATCTTGCTGAGTTTCCCTTTCTGCTGCAGCTGCCTGGCGGCAATGGCCACCGAGTTAAAGAAGCAGAATCCCCTGCAAAGAGGGAGTTGGAGCTGGTTAACGCTCAGGCCCTTCCTGAGCACCCTTTCCTCCTGGCTCATGTGCTCCCCAAAGGGTGGGCTCTCCCTCCCCTCTCCCTCCGGCCTGGATACAGATGGGTCCCGGGGGAGGTTAGTCTGGAGCGATCAGTGATTTTGAGCCAAGGAGATGTTTTTTGGGGCTTCCCATGTGCCAGCCCAAAGCCCTGTGGCTTGGGAAGGGCCCTTACATGGCGGTGGAAGGATCCGCGTGATGTCCGGGTGGCCGCACCACAGCGAAGCCGTTCTGGGGACAAAACAGAGGCGAGGTGGTCAGAGCTGCTGCCCCCCAGCATCACGCACCACCTCCACAGCCCGGCTGGCCGGTCCTGCCGCATGGGGACAGCCAGGGACAGAGCCCGCAGCAGCGCAGGGCTGGGAGCACCCAGTGCCAGCTTGGCGAGACCCCACAGCCCCCCTCTTGCCCGGCCATGGGGCAATGCACAGCTCTGGGACCTCCACACGAAGCCAGCCTACCTTCAGCTCCCTGGTGGCCACCTTGAAGGCCAGCTCCGTGACGCTGCCCGCGGCCCAGCGGGCAGCGTTAGAGGAATGCAGCTCGTTCCAGATGGTATCACTGTCCACCTGGAAGGAAGGGGATCGGTCAGACAGGGACAAGGCACTGGTGGAGGAGATCTCAGTCACGGGACCCACGCTCTCTGCCAGCCGCCCTGCTCAGGGCCAGAGGTTGAAGTCCTGTGCAGGCTGAAGGGCCGGGCAGCATGAAGCCGGACCACCTCGCACGCAATGGGGCAAGCTCCCCAGCGGCTCCCTGGTGCTGCTGGCCAGGATGGCAGCTCCCTCTGCCTGCTGTCAGCCCCAGCCCCCAGCTGAGCTCTGCGCAGAGCATCTCACCCTGCATTCAGGGGCTGGAAGGAGTGACTGAGAAAACGCTCGTTACCTTCTTTATCTTATTTTATTGTTTAACCAAACATCTTGGTTTGATCAGGATCACGTCAAGGGCCGAGCCAGAGCCGGAAAACTCAAGTCTCTTCTGATCAACGCCATGTGTGCAACTCAAAGGCTCCCCTCTGCCCACAGAGAGGGGCAGCTCCAGCCCCCCCGCCTTCGGGGCACGGGCGAGAGGAGGGCAGGGAGGGGGAGGCAGAGCGGGGAAAGTAGATGCAAACGGGGCTGAGAAGAGCTGGTGCCCAGCAGCAGGGGCAAGGAGAGGAGAAGAACCAGAAGAGGCAGCAGGAAGGCATGGAGTGAGACCCTTCCTGAAAGAGAGAGAGAAGGACAGAGACAGGGGAGAGAGAGGAAGAGAGGAGAACGCAATGAATGGAGAGAAACCAGGACGGCAAGCTGTGAAAGGAGAGGCCACAGAAGTGTCTGGAGAGAAGTGGCGAGCTGCTGTCCCCACGACACCGCTCCCCTCCCTCAACGAAGACCACAGCTTGCAGCTTCCCCCGGCCGTCCCGCCAGCTTGCTCCCTTCTAATTCCCCGGGCTCTTAGAAATGGCTGTGAGGGGCTTCTGGTTCCTGGGCCCCTTAGAGTAAGGAGGCATAAAGGATCCCCTTTCAAGGGTGGGATGCTTAGGACCATCCCAAGGACAGGGGGAAGCTCTGATACAATGACATCTTGCCCACAGATGGAGTGCTCCCACCTGAGGCTACCCAACCTTGGCAGCCCAAAGGCTTCGGGAACTCCCTCTCCACTCAAGCCCATGAGGAGGCCCTCGCTGGGGACAGAAGAAAGGAACAACCCCGTCCAAAACCAGCCAGAGCAGAGATCGAGCACTTACCCCCACCCCTCCACAGGGCAGCATGACGAACGTCCGCTGTGACAGGATCCCTGCAGAGAGAGGGGACAGCGAGGACTTCAGAGCTGAGAAACTGGGGAATAGTGGGGGACAGGGTGCATGGCACAGGGGTACCAAGGAGGGAGGTTTGGCCTGGCTGCTCGGCCAGAATTAGGACCAGCCTCCAGGGGAGCTGCTTGGTGCGGTCCCCACGGCTGAGGGTGCTCCGAGATCTGGTGTGGATGTGCGGGCAGGGACGGGCAGAAAGCGAGGGCACGGCCGCCCAAGGGAGCAGTGTGGATGTGGACTCACCTGCCAGCTTCCCGTTGTCCAGTTTCAGGCGGTTGAGGGGATTGGTGCCATAGAGGAAGACGTGGCGCTCGATATGGACACACTGCAGCTCTTCCAGGGTGGCCTTGCGTCCCCGCAGACACTGTGGCAGACAGGGCCTGTGACCAAGCTGCTCCAGGTGGGAGACGCGGGCTCTCCCACCCACGCACACCAGCCTCCAAGGGTGGAGGTGGCACGTCTTGATGCACGAGTACAGCCACACCTCATGTCACCACAGCTGGGAAGGCAGCTGCAAGGCTGAGTGCCGTGCTTCTTGCATTGCATTTGAACTTGAGCACCCCCCATTTGCAGAGATCAGGCAGGAAATGCCAGCACCACCTTCCTACCACTGCAGAGCCCTGCGTGGACCAGTCAGCCCAGGGCAAGGTTTCTAACAGGCTGGAACTGACACTGATGTTCCCTGAGTTGGCAAAACACCCTGTTTCAGTAGGGATCACGCCTCTCCCTACGCCCATCTTCCAGCACAGCAGACTCCTGCTGCCGTCCGAAGCTGGAGATGGTCAGAGCAGCATGCTCCAACTTGGCACTGCCAGCAATGGGCAAGTCCAAGCCCTCTGGATAATGGTGGTAAACAGGCTGAGAAGATCTGGGAGCAAAAGGGATGGAGGTGGGAGCAGGATACCCTAGCACACCATTAGCACGAGATCTGCTCGTACCAGCATCCCCCTCCTGGATAGGTGTCCGGCTCCCACCCTGCCGCTCGCGCTCACCTCGCACTGGCTGCGCAGCCCTCTCTCCTGCAGACGGGACCAGATGCTCTGGATCCTGCCCGCATGCTCTGGGTGGTTGCTGTTGTCGCCGCAGGAGCACTGGTGTTTGAGCATCACCGAGTCGTAAACCAGCCCTGCAATGCACAAGGAGAGCTGCTGTCCCGAGACAGAATGTAAGAGAGCTGAACCTTGCCAGCATCGCTGGACCAGGATGGCAGTCAAGGGGCCAGATGGGCAAGTCCTGCTTGGAGAAGCCACCTTAGATAAGAAGAAGGGGCCCCTCATGGCTTGCTCTGCTGTTTTTGCAGCCAGCCAGAGCACTCCCAAGCATTTATCAGTCCGGGAGTGACTGGGACTGATGCTAAGCTGCCCCTGGGCATCCTCACCTCCCTTTTAGTTCTTGTCCCCAGCCCCTGCTGCTGCTCCAGCTGTGACAGCCCCACACAGGGGCCAGGCCATACCTGTTGTGAAGTGCGGCTTGGCTGGCTGCTCCTGCACAGGCAGGGAGAGCGTCTTGGAGGCCGTGTCCTGGGCAGGAAGGGAGACAGTCGCGGTGGCAGGAGATGACTGGGCCCTGGAGAGGGGCCTGTGCCCTGCATGGATGGTGGGGACCATGGGGGAGTCAGCCAAGGGCTGCCGCTTGAGGAGCTGCTGCTGCACGCGCTGGTAGGAATCCCAGAGATAGGCCTGATGGAGAGAGGCGGCGGTGAGCACGGCATCCAGAGCAAGGCACCAGAGCGGTGAGAGCAGCGTCACCCAGCCCAGGGAAGGGAGCCCTGCACTGTGCACCCTCCCAGGGTCTGGATACAACAGTCCCCTCCATGCTGGGAGGCTCAGTGCCGGTTTGCAGGAGCTGGGACACGTCACACAGCATCTGCTGCTCTCTGCTGGCTCAGCCCCGCAGTGCTGGGCAGCCCTGCTGCAAGGCACAGCAATTTGGGGACGATACCCAGCGATCTGGGGACAATGCCCAGCCTTGCTGACACCAGGGGTGGCTGCAGATCTCGTCCCTGTCCTAGCAAACTGCCCCAGGCTCGAGGAAGGTACAGACGTGGTGCCTGTGTCCTTACCCACACAGCACCCATTTACGGAGGTGGCTCTCAGGGTCTGATCTGAATCTTCCCAGGCTCAGGATGCTACCAGCTTTGCTGCGTTTGTGCAAAGCCTCAAACAGGAGACACCAAGGGATGAATTAAAAATTGCTCCGAATAGCAGGGCAGGGATCTCTGCACACTGCCTGCACAGGACTAACGCTCAAAGCAATTAAGCCACGACTGGAGACAGGGACAAGGCTGGGAACTCCACCTCTTACAGCCCACTCCTGAGCCCGTGTGAAGGCTTCAAACCACCCCAAGGGCTCCAGGCAGCTTGAGACAGCCAGAGGAGCCATCGTCCCTTTTCCCCATGGGCTCCTTGTGCCCAGAAGGGAGGGCGCTGCTTCAGGCTGGCAGCCCACACCCCTCCCCAGGGCTCTCCCATCCCTGCCAGCCCTTGGGTACCTGCTGTAGGATAAGCTCCTCTTGAGGCTGCATCATCTTCTGCATCCTCTCGGGCTCCTTCACGCTGCTCCCCGGCCGTGTGGGCTCCACGCGTGCCCTCGCCGGGTCGCTGCTCTCAGCCCCAGCCTCTGGGAGCGTCCCCTCGGCCTCCATGTCCTCCGAGGAGGGGATCTGCCGCAGACGGGGCTTCTCGCTGGATTTAGCCATGCGCTGCGGCAGGAGGGGTCACGAATGAGCACAGAGAGGTGGCAGGGGACAGGCCAGGCTGAGGAGGTCATGGGGAGTGGCAGGGCATCTCGGAGCAGGAGCACCGATGGATGTGGGAGCCAAGGAAGCTGAGCAGGTATCCTCAGCTTGCTGCTACGAGTCTGGGCAAGGCAGCGTCTCGCATGCCTGCCTCTGGCTTGGCCCTGGACATCTGGTACTTACTGCCCAGCAGGTAGGGTTGCCATCTTGCACCCTTCTAGCATCTGTCTCCCACTGCCTCCTACACACCTGGGCTGGGCCTCCATAACTTACCTTGCCCAGATGCGTCTGCTGCTTGAGTCTCTCCAGGAACTGGGTGTGATGCTGCTGGTACACCAGTTGCTGCTGGATAGCCTTGGGGTTCTGGGGCAGGGGCTCCGAGCGGGTCCTGCCCAGCGGTTTATGGTGGCCTGGGAGCGACAGACGCTCTGCTGAGATGAGTGAGGGGGCGAAGGAGAAGGGGACCGTTCCCAGACCTGGCACTGCAGGGGAGACGAAGGAGAAGTGAGGGGTGGCACTGTCTGCTGGGCAGACACGACACCCTGCAGAGCTGGGCATGGCAAGCAGCAGTGCTGTCTGTACCCATGCAGACTATCTCCAGACAGCCCTAAAAATGACACTGATCCAGCCCTGGAGCCCAGTATCTGGCAGGCTAGGATGGATGAGCTGTGTCTTTATGGCTCCCCTCCTTCTGTCCCCATCGCTTTGGCATCACACAGCCCACAGGGGTCTGGGGACAGGATCTGGCTGACCTCAATCATCTCAGTCCCCCCTCAGCTTCATCCTCAATGGGAGAAGCTTCCTTCACTGCAGGTATCACAGGGCAGGGAGAGATGGAACCAGGAACCAGCACAAAGGAGACAGTTCTCCTTCTGCTACAATTAGCGGATTACCTAGAGGGACTGGGGGAAATAAGGCAGCTAGAGGCACAGCCAAGAGGTCTGAGCTGCCCTGCTCAACGCAGGGTCTGTAGTGAAATCTGCTGCCACAATCAGCCTAGGAAGAGGCAGGAAAGACCCCTCGGAGGGGTGCTTCTGGGCTGCAGGAAAGGTGAACGGCTCCACACCAGCCCAGCTCAGGCCGAGCAAGGGGCAGCCAGAGGGGAGAGCCAAAGCTATGGCACTCTCTGCATTGTTGAGGCCATGGTGCATGCAGAACTCCGGTTTCATCCATGGCAAGGACATGCTTGCTGGCTAGCCAGAACCAGGGTCAACATCTTCCATTCCCTTGGCCCCAGCTCCCAAAAGAGTAATGGAAAAAATCAAGGCCACTGGGCTTTCCTGGCACCCAAAAAACCTGCCTGCCCCGAGCGAAGCTCCATGCTGAGCCCTGCCAGCGCTGACACGGCCTCAGTGCCTGTCACCGAGCTCGACACTTACCCGCCACCAGCGGAGTGTGGGTGACCGAGGGCTCAAGGATGATGACAGGCTGGAGCCGAGGGGATAAGGGGCTCCCAGCCTCGTGCTGCTCCAAGCCAGCTGGTATGAACATGGGTGAGTGCGTGCCCGTGAGGACAGGTCCATTCAGCACAGGCACCCGGTGTGCCAGGCTGGAGAGGGGGCGGCGATCTCCCTCTCCCTGCAGAGAGGAGGAGGACTGGGTTAGCAACCCACCAGGACACAGCACGGCGAGGGGATGGCATATCCTCACCGTGCCCACGGGCAGCGCCTGTGAATACTCAGAGCCAGTGCACGCCTGCCATTACCCCAGGCCCAAGGGAAAGGGCTTCCCCTGCCCCGCGGGGACCCTTTGCCCAGTTCTGGGACTACCTACAACCTGGCCACCTACCCTGGCACTAGTGGTAGCCGGCAATCCCAGCGTGATGGCCGGAAGGGAGGCTGCACTCTGCAGGGCAAACTGGGCCAGTGAGCTCTCCTGCATCATCAAGCGCTGGGCCAGGGGCGTCTGCACCAAACACAATTCATTAGTCTCCTGCTCTGGCAGTGGCAGAGCTCAGTGTGGGACAAGCAGCTTGGGCACGGGCAGCAGAAGAGGGTGGCTGAGCCCCAGCTGCCTGGAGGAAAGCTTGGGCCAGGGCAAGGGGCACTGGGGCCCAGTGAGGAGAGTACATACACTAGGAGACAAGAAATGCACACTGCGAAGGAGGGCAGTGTGTCAGGAGCAGCACTGGGCCGGACAGAAGATCCCACCATGCAGGGAGAGCAGGGCTAAGGGCAGTTCCTGGCCAGCGGGGTTCAGGGCTGGGGTCCCCGGGGGGTGGATGCTACCTTTGCCTGAGCCTAGGATGGGAGTGGGAGATCAGGGCACCAAACCCTGGGGTCAGGAAGCCCCAACCCGCAAGATCTCTGGGCTCCGAGGCCGTTGGAGCTCACCTCGTGGGCCATGCCAGAGGCAGCGGGGAGGGCTCCATGCTCGGCGGGGAGGCTGTCATTGGGAGAGCTGCAGCCGGACACAGGGGTGCTGCTACTGCTCGGGGAGGAGTCTGCACAAGGAAGAGAAATGGGGTTGATGGGCACAAGCACCCAGAGAAGGTCTGCACAGCCCCAGCCCTTCATAGCCCTCCCTCCCTCTAACAGCTGCCCACCGCCCTCCGAGGGCCAAACCTCCCTTTGACTGCACGGCACAGAGGAGACAGAGCCGCCCTGCCAGCATGGGAGGCACCACACCACAGCGAGGAAGCCTGATCAGCCACATTTGCTCAGGGCCTTGGACCCTTTCAGCCTTGTAGGTCCATCCTGGGGCCGAAAAGCAGCAGGGTACAGCTGCAGCAACATCCTCTCCTGGCTCATCTATCCCTGCACCATCATGGCAGAGAGCTCCCTCCATGGGCTGTCCCTCAAGGAGGGCACCAAGAACGTGCCGAGCCCTGGAGACACGAACCCCAAGCAGATATGGCACAGGATCCCGGGCAGACTGCAGCTGCTCCAGCCTGGCCCCAAGGTCTCTCCAAACCCCCGAGGTATCACCGTCCAGGCAAAGCCCTCACCGATTGCCTCGGGCGGCCGCCTCTTCAACGAGGGGGGAGCACTCTCCTTCCGCGTCAAGGGATTCTTGCGTCGGTCAAGGCACTTCCTGGGCTTGCAACGCACCTTCAGGTTGGGCTCAGATGCTGCGAACAGACAAGGTGGTTAGTCCCAGCCTCACTGCCGATACGGGCAAAGCTGGACTGGCTTCGTGGGGCCAGGCCACCCCGCTTCTTGGCTCCAGCCACCCCCTGCAAACGGGCCACAAGGGTGTCATGGCGGGAGGGAGATGCCATTGTCCCCAAGGCCTTACCTGTCTTCCGAAGCGGAAAATGCTCTGGGGGGTCAAGAGAAGTGCTGGGGACAGGGGGCAGGAAGGTGCTGAGCACAGGAGGGGAAGGGCCCTCGGGATCCAGAGGCTCCAGAGACCTATGGGGAGAAGCCACCTTGTTAGAGACCTTTCCCAGTTGGCAGCCACGTGCCACCCATACTATGCCCTCCAACGCAAGGGTGGCCCATGGGGCATTGCCTTTCCTGGGCGTGTGCTAGCTCTTCTGCCAGTGGCCAGAAAGGCTTGTCCTGTCCACTACCACAAGCACCTACAGAAGGGATCCAGCTGCTGGTTTTGCCTTGTCTTGGGACAAAAGACAAGAAGCCTGACAGTACTTTTTGGGTTAGGAGTGGGACAAGCCATCAAAGTCCAACAAGGTCAGGGAAAACAATGTGGGAGCTTCATCCATCTCCTGCAAGCACTTAACACAGAACCAAGCTACCTCACCCCAACAGACGTTAGCTAAACAATATCTCTAAAGACCAGGAAGCAGAAGATAATGGCAAGATCTTGCCCAAGATAAACAGCCACCTTTTCTGGGTCCTGAGCAGATGTCCTGCTCAGAGCAGGCCAGAGGATACCCTTGTTTTACCTGTACGGCATGGCTGAAGAGTTGGGGTTGCTGGTCCTCTCCAAAGCCGCCTGCTGCTTCTTCAGGATGACCTCAGCCAGCTTCTGCTTCACCACCGTGCTGGCCACAGCACCTGCAGAAAGACCACACAGGGCTGAGAGCCGACACAGAGCACTTCAAAGGATCCCTGCAGATATGAGCGTGGCCCCACGGCTCCACAAGTAATGCCAGGATGGCTGGAGACCCCCTACAAGCACACAGACACTGAGAAAACCCTGCGGAGATGCTTGGTGCAGTTCTCAGGTCAAGGTTGGCTCAGGGAGAGAAAGGCCAGCTGGGGCAACCGGAGTTTCCCAGACGGTCAGGGAAGCATCCCTGTCCCACCCTCAGCTCTCCCACATCATCTCGGGAGCCTGATCTTTTTGAGTGCGCATCGCTGAGCACTGGGAGCGCGGCTGTTGAGAGGCAGAGCATCGCTAGAGGCGAGTCTCAGCTGCAGATCTGCCTGTTTCATCCGAGCCAGAGAAAGCAGGTATAAGCTGACACCCACAGAATAAAGAGGGCATGAAAGCACAACGTGGCTCGTACAGCAGCGACGAAACTCCCACGGGTGCATGGCAACCTTCTGAAGCCTCTCCAGAGACACTGTGCCCTGGGGCTCTTTGAGCCTGTGTTACACGCTGATAATTTCCAGTTGATGGCATATCAGCCTGACCTGCATCTCAGCCCCCCACGCAGCCATACTCTGCCCCTCAAAACGGGGACAGCTTGTATGAGAGACAGCAAGAAAAAGAAAGCACCTCCAAACAGTTCAGGGGATAGCTTTAAGGCTCCTGAATCTCTTGGTGGAGCTGCACTCTTCCAGAAGAGCACGAGACTTACCACAACCTGCTGGCAAACAGACAGCAGCGACCCACGTTCAACACCTGGCTCCACTGCGGTGGTGAAACACCCCCACGCAGAGGTCTGACTGCTGCAGGGTGCTGCAATCACCAGTCCCCGGCTGCCGTGAGCCTCCCATGTGGTTTCTCACCTTGGACTAGGGCCCGTTCCCATGCTCCTACCCGTGCCAGGCCATATCCCCATCTGTCCGTTCCGGCAGGAACGCTCTGTGGTTACAACGGGGATGCTCCACGCTTCTGTGCCAGCATTTGGCACCTCCGAGCACAAGTTAATTAATTAATTTGTATGATTAACTCCCAGATTGCATAAAGGGGCTGTGTGTAGGCTGTCACACTCAGCCATGCCGAGCTGACCGCGTTCGCAGCAGCTGTTTGCTCAGGAATGGCACAGAAAGGGCAGGCACTGTGTTTTCAGCATCGCAATTAGCCCCGTCAACCCTGTGAACCGCGGCAGAGAAGCCTGTGCTCTGCAGCCACGTGGGAGCTAAGGGAAGGTATCAGCATCCCGACAGAGCTCAGACTGGACGGGCAGGTGGACAGTAGGCTCACGGACACTGGGACGGGCGCAGTGGATCCGATGCATGCTGCAACTGCATCTTTGGGTTGCGATGCAGAGCTCTGCACATCCAAAAGCTCAGAGCAAGCTCCCTGCAGCGACTGGCACTAGATGGCGCAGGGAGATCGCAGCCAGACAGGGTTTGCAAACCTTTCTGCCCAGCACAGGGTTTAACCTCTCCCCACTGCCACGGGTGCTCCAGCCTGGGGCTTGCAAGTTCAAGAGGCAAATTCACGCCCTGCCTAGCGCAGTCACAAGCACCGTCAGCTCGGGTAGCACCACTGCAGTGGCCGTAGGGCACGATGCAACGTTAGCATGGAGATCTGTTATGACCACCTGGTTGGCATCGCTAGGAAGGACATGAAGGACAAACACCAGCCAGGCCAGGGCTAAAACCAATCTCTTGCCAGTTGCTAAGTGCAACCTGCTGGCATCACTGCTTGCTGCTCAGAAGGATCACACTTCCCCGCGGACACTAAGTTGTTCTCTTGGCCCCAGGCAGGCACAGAGCATGGCTCAGTTTGATGCACAGGACAGAGGTGCTCAGGGGCATGGACGCTATCACACGCCTTTAGACCAAGAGAAGGCAGAGCTCGGTCTGGGTAAGGGCAGAACCACCTGCTGAGCCCCCTTCTAAAAGCCACTCTGATCTCACTCCTTCTGTGAGCCAAGTCCCCCGGTTTTGGGGGCACGGCTCCTCGGGCAGAGATGCGGTGCCCAGTGCCGCGTGCCAGCAGACACGCGGAGGCTCTTACTTCGCTTGCTCTTGTCCTTATTGAGGATCTGCCGCAGCTCCTGCTCCTGCTGCCCAGGCTCGGCTTCGCGGTGTGGGGACTCCATGGTCACCTGCGAGAGGAGCAACACATCAGCACCAGGAGACCCCAGCCTTGCCCAGTGCAGACCAAAGCCCTCTCACCCCCTCCCCAAGCCCAAGGCACAACTACACGGTAATGGAGCATGTCTGAAACGGTCCGTTATGTCATTTTTGGAAACCTGATGGGCCGACCTGGCCAACAAGAACGTGTTAAGTTGTTTCATCACAGCAAACCGGATGCATCTTTGTCTCCAGGGACGCTCTCCCCAGGGACATCGTAAAACTCAAACCAGTCTGTTTCAACTTGCTGCCTTTCATGGTGTTTTGACATATCTGTAGCTAGTGCATGTTGTAATACAACAAAAAATAAAAATCATAGTTGACTAAAAAGGGGAAAAAAGAAAAAAACCCTATTCTACTAGTCTTAAAAGTTTGGATCTTGGTGTTTTCCAGAGCTGAGGTTTTCAGAGATGAGCCCATTTCACAGGGAGGTCAAAAAGCATCACGTCTGCACAAATGCCTCTAAGCACCCATCAGTCGTGGCAGCAGCAGCATCTCAAACTCTCCTTGTATGGACCAAGCTGATGCTCAGCCGCTCCCAGAAAGCCTCAGTGTGATTTCCCCAGGGCTTCCAGACAAGGTTACAGGGACCAGCGAGCCCGTGCCAGCCACCGAGAGTGGGGCTGGTGCTCAGGGGCAGAGCACATGGCATGTAAGAGAAGCAGATGAGGCTGGGCTTGTTCAGTCCAGAGCAGAGGGGGTACAACTGCATCCTCCACCACCCAAAGCGCATTACACGGCAGATGGAGCCAGGGTCCTCCGAGGAGCGCAGCAAAAGGATGAGCAGCAACAGGACAGACGTGCCATGAGGGAAATCCCATCTGGATATATGGAACTGATTCCTGCCATGAGCACGGTGCAGCCCTGCGACGGGGACATGCAGGGGGTGATCTCTGTGCTTAGAGATGGTCACAACTCGCCTGGACGTGGTCCTCCGCAACCTGCCCTACCTCTGAAGTTGGCCCTGCTCTCAGCAGGGGCCTCCAGAGGAACCATCCAAGCTAAATCTTGCTGTAATTTTGTGACAATGCAGAGTCTGGCGAAGAGGCTGTGCAGGGCAGGGGTGCTATTCCGGGTGACACTAGAGAATTTCAGTGAAGACTTCCCAGAAAAGCAAATTAGCTTGTAAAGTGAGTAAGCCGTGCCTTTAGGGCAGAGAAACAGCAGTGGCCAAGCGGAGTGGCAGATCACAGACACCAGGCATCCTGTCCAGTCGCTCTGGCTCCTCGCTCAGCACACATGGTATGCAGCTGAAAACATTTCCCTGCTTCGCACATCCCAGGAGGCCCCAGCCCTCCCGCTGGCCTTGGCAGGACAGAGATTTGGCCTGAAAGTAAGACACGAAAACCCCCCACCTGACTCCCTAACTGGCCTCCTTGTGTCAGAGAGGTCTCCGTGCTGGCTAAAAAGCACTATAGACTCTCCAGCTCAGGGGAAAGAAGCAATTCACCTGGGAAGGTTATTTTGGGGTTGGGATTTCCAGCCTCTTCCTCTTAATCCCTGCCAGAGACGGGAGCTCAGACAAAGCCAGCCCCGACGCAGGGCACTGCTGGCAGACACGCATGGCGCCATGAGCTACATGCTTTGGGGGCAAAATTAATTCTTCAAAGTGCCCAGTCCTCACCCAGCCGCTACCGAAAGCGGGTGCAGGTCCCTCCCTGCACCCCGGGGTGCCCGTACCCTCACGTGCTGGTGGGCGAGCTGCTCCACTTGCTGCTGGTGCAGGCTGGCGAGGAAGAGCTGGTGCTGCAGCTGCTGCGTGTGCTTCAGGGCCAGCAAGGTGGTGTCAGAGCCGGGCTTGACGACGCGCTGCCCGATCCGCAGGTCCATGGGGGCGGTCTGGGGCACCCGTGGGGAGGTGCACGGGTTCACAGCAGCTGTTGAGACACAAAGAGGGGCACAGCTCAGTCCCTGTCTGGCTCAGACCACCCTGCTAGGTAGGCAGGGAAAGCATCAGGACAGGGCCCGGGTATACCCCAATGCACGGGTGGGCACTGCGAGGAACATGCCCTGCCATTGAGAAGGGCTTGCCACACACCATCTACTGCCTGCAAAAGCCTCTTCCATCATCTGGGAAAAAAAATTCAGTAAATCATACACCCTTGGAGAGTCTCCAAGGTGCTGCAGGCATCTCCCCTTGACACCACGGCTGAGAATTGCTTTGCAAATATAAGACACTCCCGCCCTGCCTGGATGCAGAGTCTTTCCGCGTGGTGAATCCCCCATCCTCATGGGAACACCTAAAATAGTCCCAATTACACAGAGCATTGGAGCACCCACTGCAGCAGGCAATTTTCACCAACCAGCTCCTAAAGCCTTGCTTAATTTATCCTGCATGTGCCACGGGCCAGTGCAAAGCAGAGCCGGTCGCCTCCAGCTGCAACAAACAGAAGACAAACCTGCAGAAGAGCCACCCAGCCAAGGGATGCCCGCAGCTGCAGCGCTCCTCCTGCATCTCTGCAGTGGGATGCTCCAAACAGCACAGCGAGAAGGCAGCGAGCCAGCCAGGCGCAGGCAGAAAGGGGATGAGCGAGCACGACAGCAACTGAAGGACGCACAGACAAGCCCCATGATGTCCCACAAACGAAACGCAGCCAGGTGCAAGGCAGCCATGGCTGCTGCAGCTTCGCGCTTCGACACGGGCATTGCAGCACGGGGGAAGCTGGAAACAGGCAGGTGGACAGAAAATTCAGCATGAGAAGACGCTGCAAGGGGGAAGCTCTTGCAGGATGCAGGGCCAAGGCCACTGCAGCCTGAGCGCTAATTGTTTTCCAAAAGCAGTTTCAATTAAAAAAAAAAAATGCAAATGTTGTTTTCTAGACAGAGAACCACACCCTGCGTTGTTCAAACCTCAGCCTGAACGGCATCAGGGAGCTTGTGCTGATGACTGCAATATTGCAGGAGAAATCTCTGCAGGCTCCTGCCCCGTAATGCAGCATTTACACAGCAATTCCAGGGGGAAACCCAGCAAGCTCCCGCCCCAGCCCGCACCTCCCTGCAAGGCAAAGGAGCACGAGCATGTTCACCCAAAGAGGGCACAGGGACTATTAATAACCGCAGGCGCACATCTGTGCAGACGATGGGGTGCGTGGCCCTGCTGAAATGGGGCCAGGTCTGGCTTTCCTGCATGGCCCAGGCAGGAAAAATTCCCTCTGGTCAAGGGCAAACACTTCTCGGCACCAGCTCAATTCTCCAGGACAGAAATGTCCCTGACCTCAGCCCATGTCGGAAAAGGATCTGATGTTCCCACGAAACCCCATCGCAGGGTTTATCCCGTTCTCTCTCCATCTCACTGATAACTGCCTGGGATTTAATTTGTCTCTGGCTAATTGGCTCTAATTGCTACACCCTGCCTGCCCCACCATAACCGGCATGATCCGGAGGTTGAGGAAGATTAACAGCCACAGCCTAAAAGCCGCTGAGCTCCTCTGCCCCATTATCACCGAGGCCTCGGGGCTGGACATGACGCGATGCCACAGGATGGGCAGGATGAGCCCCACAGCCCCCTTTGAGGGTCAGGCACGGCAAAAGCACATGAGCATGTTTCAGCTGCATATTTATTAGCGAACAAGAGTCCAAGTAAAGTTACCCTAAGCAAGAAGATCTCAAGTCTTCTCTCTATGTGCCCTTCACACCCGCAAGAAGCCAGTGGTCCCAAAAAGGCTGACGTCCGCCACAGGGCTGACAATTCACCCCAGCGCTACCCAAGCGGCTGCAGCGCTTGGTCCCGTCTCCTTGCTGCACGGTGCCAGCACCGGCGCCCTGGGAGGCCGTACCTGCCTGCTGCTCCAGAAACCTCCTGGCTTCAGCAATCCCCAAAGGGCCTCGGATCTTGCTAAACATCAGTGATTTTGAAGGATGCAAGCGATAAGCCGGGCTGTCACCTCCCTCTTCCCAGCTCATGTGTGTTCCCACCTCCCACTGAGGAGGAGGAGGATGCCAGAGGGACGGGTGCTGGCCAAGCCCCTTGGGGATGCTCAGCGGGAGGAAGGCTGGAGGGAGGCAGCGGCACGGCATGCGTAGTGCTACCCGATGTGCCGGGCTGTTGGCAGCCAGACAAGGACAGACTGTAACGAGCAAATCTCAGGATGGGAAACGGGGACTTCTGACAGCTCCCAGCCGAGCCAAATCCCCACCACGTGACGCTGTCTATCTGCAGGAACTTGCTAAAGCTCAGCCATCCCTCGGTCCCCTCCAGGCAAATGTCACTGTCCTGCTATATACCACGAAGGAGCAGGAGCTGGGAAACGCAGTGGGGCTGCCGGGGGACCACAGCCATCGGGCTCAGCTTTGAGACACTGAGAAGGGCTGCTTAGACACAGAAGCATCATTCGGAGGGGAAAGCAGGGGTACGAGGAGGAAGGGACCAGCCCACCAAGCCACAGCCTCCATCCTCAGAGCTGACGGCATCCAGAGAAGAGTTGTCACAGCCTTCCTCTGCTTGCGATGCTAAAAATGCCCACGGGGAGCTCCCACCAGCCAACGCTCAGCAGCAGCTGTCTTGTTCTCACCTCCCCATCAGCAGCATCCTCAAGCCCGAGGCTGCCCCTCCAGCACCTCCCCGGGGCAAAAAGGGGCGAGAAGGTCTTGGGGGCAACCGCAGGCGGAGGAGGAGGTATTACAGGCACCTCTGGGGACGGAGGGGGAGACACAGACGGCGGCACAGAGCCGAGGGGGAAAGACGCTGGCGGGGTCTCTGGGAATCTCTCTACCTCATTTGTTTTAGTCTTTTTAAAAACAAACCCCAAAGCAGCGGAAGAGGAGAAGTGGGAGGGAACGCGTGTGCTGGGGGAGAGGGAGGACGGGCAGGCCAGCAGCCAGCAGCCAGAAAAACAACTCCTCACCGCTCACCCAGAGCCAGGAAAAAGGCTGTCGAGCATCCCCGCGGCCAAAAGGCACCAGAGCCAGGGAGAGTGGCCGCCGGCAGAGGCTGCGCAGACCCTCCTCCCACCGCGGCCCCCCAGCTCTGCCCACGGATGGCGCATGGAGCACCCCGCTACACCAGGCCCTGCTCAGCTGGGGACGTTTTGGCAAAACGGGGCTGTTCAGGAGGTAGGAGAGAGGGAAGACGGGATGGAAAAAAAGTACCATGGGAGCACGGACTGGCCTGAAGTGCCCCAGGGCGACACGGGCGTCCCAGCCTGTGCAAAGCCCCAACTTACAGCTTCGCACCCGGCCAGCACGGGCTAAAGCCACAAAACTCAGGGCGGTTTTCCAGAGCTTAGAAACACGATGCTTTACATCCCGAGTGCCAGGGAGGTGAGGGACGAGGACCAGCCGGGGGCAGCAACGTTGGGAGTGAAGCCCAGCCCCTGGGCAGGAGCCTCGAACACTGTTGCCATGCCGGGACCCCTCCGGCGCGTGGCAGCTCCCCGGGGATGCCCCGCATCCCTCCCTCCCTGGACCCCTTCGCAAAGCCCTTCCTGCCCTGGGAGCTGTTTGTTTCAGCCGTGACCTCCCGCTGCAGCTTGAATTCATTTGGGGTTTCATGCCGGGACCTCCGCCAAGAGTTACAGTAAACAACTCCCCTCCCCGGCAGCCTCCGATGCTCACACATGATTCAGGGGGCAGGCAGCCAGGCGAGCAGCTCCTCCTCTTCCCCTCACCCGAAGAAGGCCAAAAGCACAGCCCCATGACGGCTCCTGGGGGGTCTGCCCCTTTCCCCAACCCAGTCCGGGTCCCGCCGGTTCCTAGTGGACCCTCGTAAGCCACCAGCACTGCGACACGTGGCCACAGAGGGGCTGGGACAGGGATGCACAGGCTGAGACCGGGATGCTCCGCTGGCCCCATGCAGCCTCAGGGGGCCGAATCCATCATCCTTCCCTCCTCACCCGCATGACCAGGAGCAGGGCCGAGTGCCGGGACAGGGAGAAGCAAGCTGGGTGCACCTACCCAGGGAAGAGGCGGAAGGTTTCTGGGACAGGCTCCTCTCCCGGCTGGATGTCCGGCTGCCAACATTTTTGCAAATTATTTTTAGTTCGCAAGAACATTCGCACGGGAAGGCCGGCGCTGGTGGCAAGCTCGTCTTCACACAAGTGCTGGGGCTGGCAGGGGCTCAGCAGCCGCCATGTCACCAGCAGCAGCATGGTGGGACCAGGGCAGCACTCACAGGGCAAATGGCTTTGCAAACGACCCTGCCATTAAAACACAGCAAAACTCAGCCTCTTTGCAAAGACATCCCTCTCCTCCCTGCTTCTGCCAAATAAATCATGAACTGCAAAGCTTATCTGCTCAGCCCAAACAACTCAGGATGTATTTGGGGTGTGAAGCAAGGCAGCATCAGCCCCTCTCCTGGACAGGGGGTGAAGGTGGCCGTGGGGATCACTTGCTGCCTTGTCCCCACTTGCACCATGTGGCCCGGCAGTAAAGCAGAAGCACGGGGGCCGTCACGTCACTGTGACACCAAGCGGTTGTTTTTCTGGGTCACCTTGCGCAGCCAGATCACCGGGAGGAAAACACGCCGCTACGCCAGCGTGCCAGGAGGAAGCCGAGGGGAACCGTGCCGCGGTCCCGGCGCATGGAGGCAACTGCCCAGGGCTGCCGAGCTCATTGCACAAACCATTGCACCTGGGCAGGTAGCAGCCGCTGCAGCTCCACCCTTCCTCCACAGGAAGGGGAGATTGCAACACAGCGAGAGGAGCTTCGGTGCAGAGTCTCTCCCCGGCGTGCCCCGGGAAAGCCTTCGGCGGTACGAGCATGAATGCAAGCTCTGTGCTCAACAACCCGGCATGGGTTACCAGCATTTTCCAGGCTGCCGGCACGGCACAGCGCAAGGAAAACAGCCGAAGCGCTCCAAGGGCCTGCGTGCTCGCCGGCGAGGCGGGGAGAGACACGGAGCAAGCGTGCAGACGGTGACGGGCTCCCCACTTTGCAAACA